AAGAGGTCTTGCTCAAAACGGCTCCTTCCCTTGGTCTCCCCAGGGATGGTCCTCTACCAGCTGCTCTCCCAGGTGACAAAGTTGAGGGTCCAGGACTTGACCCTCTTGTGCCCTGATTGCCACATGGCTCCCTCCTGCCTGCCCCCATCCACTTTTCATGGTTTCACCACATGGTCTGTTCTCCTCTTGCCCATCCAACTTCTGGGGCCTTCCTCCCTCTCCTCTCCCATTTAGAATGCTCCCCCCCAGCTTTGCCAGTCTTCCAGGCCCATTAGCCTCCCAATCCCACCACCTCTTCATTAATAATAAGTCCCTGGACACCTCTTCTAGAGCACATGGCCATTTAGAAATTGCTTATCCTTCAGGCTTCTACATGCTAACTCTGGGAGGCAACCTTGGCAGGACAGGGTTTAGTGTTCCCATTTTATAGATGAGGAAACTGAGGTACAGGTCTCATTCCAGAGTCACCTAACCAGGAAGTCATCAAGTTCAGACTAGAACCTAGGTCAGCTGGAACCCTCAGGCCAACCTTGTCCCTTGCTGTGTTAACCTACTGCCTTACTGGGGGCTTTGTGTGGCTACAGAATACCCAGACTATGCCACTGCCCAACCCAGACATAAAACCAGTCTATCCTGAATCTCTGGACCTGTGTGTCTTAGAGGGTGGTGTGGGGACATGTCCAAAATGCAGCTTCTTGGACCCCACCTCACCCCAAAGGGCCAGGAATCTGCTTATCTAACAAACTCCCAGAGAGATCCTAAGTACCAGTGCCACACCATTGATGTTCATAGCCTTGACCATTGTTCAGTTGCTCAGTCGTGTCCGACTCTTTGTGACCCCGTGGACTGCAGCATGCCAGGCTTCCCTGTCCTTTACCATCTCCAATTAGGCCATCTTTTTTAAGCCAAATAACTACGATGTTATATTTTTAGAAGAGCCTTGAGCTGAGAATTAGGGAACCTGGTCCTCAATCCAGCTCTGATTTGGGTTATCTATGCTGAGAATTTCCAAAAAGCACCGGGGGCCATTTACAATCTTAATCGTAAAGTTCAGTAAGGCAACGGAAAAAAAAAAGTCAAAAAGCAAGAGGAATTATCATTCCCCAAATCTGTCTTCCCAGGTGGCACAGTGGGTAAAGAATTCTCCTGCCAATGCAGGAGACGCAGGAGATGTGGGTTCGATCCCTGGGTTGGAGGGAGAAATGGCACCCCACTCCAGTGTCCTTGCCTGGAAAATCCCATGGACAGAGGAGCCTGCAGGACTGAAGTCCATGGGGTTGCAAAGAGTTGGACAGAACTGAGCGACTAAGCACGCGCGCACACATACACACGCTTAAATCTATCTGATGTGATTTCCATAATCCTGCAATTAAATTTTACTCTGGAGTTTCCTGGCAGCCATGGTAAAAAGGGAAGCACATCAACTTTCATGACTCTCATCATCCAGTCATGGGAAGTGACAATATTTGCCCCAGGAGGCAAACTCTTCTGCTAATTTAGAGCATGCATCCTTTCTTCAAAGGCCACTAAGTCAGTTGTGGTATGAACCTAAAATGCAAGGATGTTTTCCAGGTCACTATTTTAAAAATAATAAACTGCCACCGACTTGAATGACCTTGATCCCAGAGCATGTGGCTAGTCTGTGCCTCTGTTCCTCCAGCTGCAAAGTGGAAGAAATCCTACCTCACATGGCGGTGCTGAGGACCAAGTACAATACTGTGTGAGTCTACGTGGGAAAGCATAAGGTTCTACACTGATGTAAAGAGGTCTGATCACAGTCATTGTCCCCTAGTGCCCTCACTAGTCTTAGTGAGTAGAAAGGCTAATAAACTGGACCAACCCTCTCACTTAAAAAAAATTGTGGCCCAAAATGCATAATATAAAACTTACTGTTTTAGCCCTTTTAGTGGCTTTAAATACATTCACACAGTGGTACAACCATCAGGACTATCCATTTCCAGAACTTTTTCATCACCCCAAACTGAAACTGTACCCACTAAACAGTAACTCCCCATCTTTCCCTCAGGCCCCTGATAACCTATATTCTACTTTCTGTCTCTATGAATTTACCTATTCTAAGTATTCTAAGTGGAATCATACAGTGTTGGTCCTTTTTTGTCAAACTCCTCCCTTTTTTGGATGAGGAATCCAGCCCAGAGAAGGGAGTTCCTCACCCAAGGTCACACAGCAAACTGGAGGCAGAGTCAGGACCAGAATTCAGGTTTCCTGACTCCCACCAGGTTCTGCATCCCTGGGGGTGAGTGAGACCCCACCTACCATTCCCTGATCTTGGCTGAACCTTGTCTTCTCTCTGGGCTCAGCCTGTTTGCTTCCCACCACCCATCCATCCTTTGTTTTATCACCTTCCTCCAAAGCCTCCCCTCCTCCTGCCTCCTCTTCTCTGACTGATTCCCACCAGCAGACCCAGTGGCCCTGACCCATGGCCAGGTTTTCCTCTTCTGAGCCGCAGGCTTCTTTGTAGTACCCACCCCCTTCAGCCCTCCCAGAATGGCCTTCTATGGATTTCCTGGCCCCTCAGGCTCACATCCCCATCGTCCTGTGACTGTGGTCTCCCAATTCCTGATGTTTGCTTTCAGATCTGATTGTATTTCCTGGGTTCTGTTTTACTTTCTCACACTGAAGGGGGAACCTTTCCCCGATGCCTCAGGCTGGGCTTGGCCCAGTGACCACCCCCAGCCCAGAAAGACACACCCCATCCCACCCTTGAGTCCCATTTTCTTCTGTCCACAGCCTCCCAACAGGACCCCAGCAGTATCCACTGGGAATTGGCAGAGGTCACTGGGACCCTCATTTTGGCTTCCCCTATCCTGCCCAGTCCTGCATAGCCTAGTTTGTAAAGCAGATGCAGCCTGACTTGGGTTCTTCCCTCCTCCCTCTGGCTATCTGTCCATCCATCTGCCTGTCCATTTGATATCCCACCATCCTCTCTACCCTCCCCTGGATCTCTCTGCCTCTGAATAGCTTGCCCTGGCAGAACCTGTAGCCCATCCTGGCATTACCGCTTATCCCTTCTGTAGTATTTGCAGTTTGCAAAGTCCACAGAGCCAAGAACCAAAGGGGACTGGTAACAAAGCGACCCCTTGCCCAGGGCTCCCCCACCCCACCCTTCCCCGCACCCTCCTTTGTCTACCCCATCAGCCTTGCTCCCCTCCCTTCCTGCCCTTCACCAGCTCCCTGAACCCCAGGCAGTAAGAAAAGGAGCTCTGGTTTCCCTTAGCATCCTTGAAGGGCCAAAGTCATCAAGGCCTGACCATCTTGTCTTTCTCCACTCTATACCACTCGAACTGCTCCTGTGAAAAGGAATTTCAGCCAGGATTTTGGAGACCTGGCCCAGGTCTGGACAGTTGTCCTAACTTCTCTGTGTTTGGCTGGTTGTATGATTTTATGATGATGATCCTTAGGGATCCCAGAGCACCCCTCATGTTTTGGGGTCCTGCATCACCATCCTCTCCCCACTGGGCCCTGGTATCCTGGCTCCTCTCTCAGCTCCGCCACTGATCTCTGTGCCTTAGTTTACTTCTCCGCACAGGGGGCTCACCATAAGTCTGTTCCCAGCAGCTTCCCAGTTTGGTGCCTCTAAGGCAGGGCCTTGGCAGCTGTGGCCCAGCTCCCTGGCACTGTCTTCTTAGGGCACCAGGTTGCTGAGGATGAGATGCCTGGAGGTTCTCAAAGAAGCCAGAGCATCACCTGGGAACTTGACAGAAATGCAAAGTATTGGCCCCACTCAAGAACTAAAAAACTAGAACTTTGGTGGGGGTGGGGGGAGGGCAGCAAGCTGGGGGTTTAACAAGCCCTCCAAATGATTCCGATATACACAGGCATTTACTACCTGCCGATCTAAACCAGCAAATAGTGTGGCCTGGTGAAGGACTGAGGCTGGTCCTGACCAGGAACAAGTGGGAAACATCAAGCTCATCTGGATTTCTGAGGCCAGGGAACCCTGGCCATCCCTACCCAAAGCAAAACACAACTGTGTTCTCCTCTTCCCAGAAATTGGGGGGCTGGGAAAAGGCAGGCATTTTTCCTTTCTCTACTCCTGGCTTGGTTCCAGTTCTACCCACCTTTCCTACTTGTCTGGGTTTTACTAAAGGTTGTATAGGGTTGTGCCAGCCAGGCAGGGGGTGGGCAGGAGACAAAAAACCCTGACCCTTTATCCCTTGGGAATCTCACCATAGGCTGATGGCTTCTTTTCAAATGGAAAGAAACGTAGCTTCTCAAAGACTCCTAAATCCCCAACCAGCTCCTCCTCCTCCCACCTCGGGGGAGACCTTATAGACAGTGCCAAAAAGCAGCTCCTGCCCCTAGGGGCTAGGGGAGAGAGCCAAAAGCCATCCCTCAACCTGGCCTCCCCATCCTGAACCCCCGCCAGTACTGTGAAACCCCCTTCCTGACCATCCTGGTTTCCTGGTGTGGCCTCTGAAGTCGTGGGCCCAAGGGGTCTCCCAGGGAAAGGCCTTTGGGAAGGAAGGGACCAGGGGCATCCTTGGGCCAAACTCTGCCTCTCCTGCCCGCTCTTTCTCCTCCCTACTCCTTTCTTCAGAAGGCTCCTTCCCAGGAGGTATTGGGTGCTAGACAACCGTGGTCCAGTCCGCCAGCTCTCCTTCCCCCCCGTGTCTTATTTCAGACATGAGAATAACTGTACAGTGTAAACTTACAAAGGGTTTTTAATGGTTTAGATTGGAAATAAAGTATGTCATATGAACAGTTTCCATGGACTTGGCTTGTCTGATTTCTCACGTGAGGTGGGTGCGGTCCCCAGCACATTTGGAACTTGACTCAAACACATACCCAGTTGCCTGGGAAGGAGGGAGTCCTGGGAATGCCTCAGCCAGCTGGCTGGTCTGGGGTCACTTGAGAAGAACCACCAAGGGGCTCCCAGCTACTGACTGCTGACACCTCAGGGTCCCCCATGAAGGGTGGTAAGGCCACAGAGAAACAAATGCAGGTCATCAAAAATGGAACTGAAACTTGCTACAGAAGACTTTCAAATATTTATCACAAAAAAAGGACATGGGTTAATTATCTATTACAGTATAATCAATTATCCCCAAACATTTATATCACAGATGCCGTGGGTCAGGGATTCAGGAGCTAAGTTGTTCTGACTCAGGGTCTCCTGAGGGTGCAGTCAAGTGTCAAATCAGGCAGCAATCATGTGAAGGCATGACTGGGGCTGGAAGATCCATTCCCAAGTTGGGTTACTCATGCCTGGCAAGTGAGGGTGGGCAGGAGGCCTCAGTTCCTCCCCATGTGGACCTCTCCCTAGGGCTGTTTGAGTATCCTCACAACATGGCAATTGGCTTCCCTTAGAGCAAGTGATCTATGGGAAAGCAGGAGAGGTCACAATGTCTTTTATGACTTAAGCCTTGAAAGTCATACACTATAATTTCTGCAGTATCTCACTAGTTATACAAATTAGTCCTATTCCTTTTGGAAGAGAACTATACAAGGGCATGAAGAGCAGAAAGTGGAGGTCATTGGGGACCATCTTGGAAGCCAGCAACCACATGAAAATTACTTTTTTGTGTGGGATGTTAGTTCTCAGACCAGGGATTGAATGTCGGCCCTCAGCAGTGAGAGCATGAAGTCCTGACCACTAGATCACCAAGGAATTCCAGGTCTCTTTTTTGAGAGTCTAACAACAGCCAGGCCTGTGCTGGGCATTGAGGATAACAGTATATGAACCTGAAAAACAGGAAACCAAATGTCAATGGCAAAGGGGTGGTCAGGGAGTTGGAGGGATCAGGAAAGGCTGCAATTATTCCTAAGGTTGAGATGTTGACCAGATGAAGGAGATGGTGGTGTGTTGCAGGCAGGAGATGGAGACAACATGTTCCAGGGAGAGGGAACAGCATGTAGAAAGCCTAGTAGAAAGAAAGCAGAGCAGGATCAGGGAACAGGAAGAAATCACTGGTGTGGGGAATGAAGAAAGAGGCTGGGTGAGATCACACAGTCCCTTATGAGGGAAGGAATGTCTACATCTTGTGGACAGTAGAGAGTCATGGAAGAACTGAAAGCAGGGAAACAACCTAGAGGATGCACTGGGTCTGGATTCCATGAGGCAACAAACTTACCCACTGTGCCCCAGGATGGCCAGTTCTGGCTGTGTTCTGTTCTTGGGACATTGACAAGTGAGAAGTTGAAGGAGTGGGGTGGGAAGGGAAGGAACTGGGCTCCAGAAAGTGATATTCAGGGAACAAAGAACAAATCTCTGCTTCAGACATCTGTTGGGAGACAACATGCTAGAACCACAGAGTGGAAATGTCAGGAAGGCAGATTTCTGCCTACCACCAGAAAACTTTTCCAGGGACCCACAACTGCTATGGAAAGATGACCACAGTCACATTCCAGTGGTGGCTCATTAACCCTTCTTGCAGTTTTTGTGGACTGCTTGTGATTCAACACTTGGGGAGATTTCAGATCCCGAAGGCATGCAAGGTGACACTCTGATGGCATCATGCTGGGTGTTGAAGCAGCAGCGTGCTCTCTGGGAGCCCCCAAGCCAGCAACGGATAGTGTGCCAGGCACAGGCTAGGCTCCTGGCAGCACAGAAAGGGCATCTGCTTTACAGCCTGGGGCCTCAGAGAAGGCTCTCAGTGCACTGGATCCTCAACTGAGGCTTAAAATTGGAGAATTCTGCCAAGAAAAATCAGGGAAGGGCTTCTCAGGCCAAGATAACGCCTTAAGCAAAGGAGCAGAAGCAATGGGGGTGATGATAAGAGTGGCAAGCGATTTGGGGAGGGGGAGGTCTGCAAGGAGGTTGTAAAAGGAGAGATCCTAAACTTTTCCAGGTGTTGAAGGGGCCACAAAAAGAGAAAATATGCTAGAGGAGAACTGGAAAAAGTGGTCCCAGTCTGCCCTGGGAGAGTCATGGTCCACAATTTTAGAGTTAAGACAAAGGGAGAGAAGGATTGTGGCCCAGCGACCGGACAGGGCATCACTGCCCACTCGCTAATGTCTTCCTTTGGCAATTACCTTTCTGGGCCTCTGCTCCCTCATCTTGGAAAGGCTCTGGGCATGTCGAGCGCAAAGAACACGACGGTGTAACGGTACTCAGTCAGGGACTCTTCGGGAGTGCCGTTGTTGGGAAGGTGGTAACTTGGCCAATACTGGGCGGGGAAGAACTTGGACAAACAGGGCGGGGCCACAAGAGTCGCGAACAGCGGTTTGCGCGTGCGCCTCGTGGAAGCGGCGTTGTGCGCTTGCGCGAGCCCGGGACCACCCCCCCCGCCCCCCGCCGGCCGCGCATGCGTCCTTGGGCGGCGGGAGTTTTCTAAGGGGCGGCTGTGGCGCTGCCGGAAGGCAGTGAAGCGGTCCCAGAGTTGGAAGGACCAACGGCCTTGGTGCAGCGCGTCCAGGGATAACGCGGCGTCGCGGAGAGAGTGACCTGCGGCCTTGTGTTTCGGAGACGGAGGCTCTGGGTTGGACAGGCATCTCTCTGAGGTGAGGAAGTCGCAGGCCCGTTCCCGGACGAGGCCTTCCTCACCCCCGCACCAGCCACTTTGGGGTCGGACACCGCGGCTCAGCCCACACCCCGCCTGCCCGTCGTCACCCCCGACACCGGGTAAGAGGAGACCCCGGGGCGGGCGGCGCCTGGCTCGGGGCCTGTTTGCAGAGCCCGCGGTCTAGACGTCACTATTGGTGGAAGGTTGAAAGCTGGGTGGGGGTGGGTCACACAGGCCAGGGTTCGAATTTCGCCTCTTCTCCACGCTGGCTACCTAACAAGTTTTTGGGGTTTTTTTGCCCCTCTGAATCTCAGTTCAACTAACTGCAGCGTGAAACTGTTGATGGTACTTCCAGAGCTGTGGCAACGATTAAATGGCGCAGTAATACACATACAGTTTTACATACACACAGGTCCTGGCATGTAATAATCGCTTAAAAGTGTCAGTGGTTGCTGTTAAGTAACCAGATTTTCATCTGAATGATACAGTCGTAACTGTGATGATTTAGATCCTTGATCCTGCTACCCCTCGTTTGTTCTCTTATCTTTTCCACGTTGTCCCTTCACATGTTTATTTTTCTTTACTAGCACTCCCCTCACCCCGTATGGATTTTTATTGGTGGTGGAGGGGGAGGCTCGATCATGTCCCTGACCTTTTCCAGCCAGTTACTTGTCTGTGACAAGCATTAGGAATACAGTCTGGCCCCAGGAGACATGTAAACAGACTTTACAACCAGTGCCAGGGAGGCCCAGGGGTGGAGCTGCCAACTCTGTCAAAGAGACGTGGCATGAAAGCTTCACACTTGAGGTCTATTGGGAAGGAAGAAAAAGTTATAAGGCAATGTGTACAAAGATCGAGAAGTGGTGCATGGAAAATGAAAAGAGTTTTCTGGGTTGGATGGTGTTGGTAGCCAGCAATGTGGATGTACTTAATGTCACTGAACTGTACACTTAAAAATGATTAAGATGGTAAATTTTATGTTGTGTATATTTCAGCACAATTGAAAAAGAAACTTAAAAAAAAAGTGGTGCATGGAGTGGAAATAGCAGGAAAAAGCAAGAATGGGTACTAGTTAGGACTAGCTTCTGGAAGGTGTTGGGTACACTGTAGGAATGTGCTGCTGTCTAAAGAATGGATTGGAGGGAATTAGCCAGCTGTCCAGTAGTTAGGACTCCGAACTTTCACTGCAAGGGCTGGAGTTCAGTCCCTGGCTGGGAAACTAAGATCCCACAAGCTGCTCAGTGTCGCCAAAAAAATAAAGAAAGAATGGATTGGAGAGGAACAATGCTGCATGTAGGAAAAACTAGTGGAGCGGCTGTTCGATTCTTGGGGGAAGTGGGGGAGAGGGATAGAAACTATGAGATCTGAACTATGGCTGGAAATTGGAAGAGTTTTAGAGATTGTTGGAAGTAGAATGGACAGGGCTTTGAATCTGCAGAGTTAATAAGTGAAGGATAAAGTGTTCATGTTTTGAAGACCATGTAGATCATAATGCCATTGATTGAATTATGCAGTTAAGCCCTTATTAAACACAAAATAATTGGGAACTAAAAGGGGTATGTGTTAAGGAAAATAAAGATTATTTCTAGTGGTAAATTCTGTAGAAATTCAGAACAGGAGGTGATGAGCCCTGCTGATGTTCTGTGGAAAAGGTGTGGAGGTGAGGTTGGGCTGGGCCTTGTCAGACAGGTAGAATTTCATAGGGCAAAAAGGGGCGGTTCAAAGAGACAAGAAAGCACAAGGCTGATTCTGGGGGAGTAAAGCCCCAGCAAGACTGGGACTGAAATATGGGGAATAGATTACTTTATTTTCCTATTTCAGGGTTCTCCATTCAGGATGACTTCTAGACCAGAGATGGTAGGTGAGTATTGTCATGGAGTTTGGTACCTTCTTGCCTTGGGTTCAGGTTCATGAGCTTTAAATACCTCCCTGGCTCTTGCTCTTGGTGGATTTGAAATCACTTATTTGTATATTTGCAGAGATGCTTCCTTAATGTTTCCATGACCTGGGGCATATGTTTCCTTTTGCCACTTTTTTTGCACAGATTCTTAGTTGTGATGGGTTTGATTCTGTATTTTGACTTTTTTATGACAAGTGCTAGAAGAGGAACCAGTGACATCTAAGACTCATGATCATCAACTGGAATCAGATCCCAACCCTGTGGACGTGTGTAATAAATCGTCCGCCTCCCTGGAGATGACTGAACGTGTTTCAAAGGAACAAATTCACCGTGGCTATAGCCCCCAAAAAGGGGACAGTGGTGATCTCAGCCACCAGGAAGGACTTGAATCCAGGTCCCTTCATTTGTCCCCACAAGAGCAGTCTGCCTGTCATCAAGACAGGAGGCAGTCCTGGCGGCGAGCAAGTATGAAAGAAACGAACCGGCGGAAGTCGCTGCCTCCCTTTCATCAGGGCATCACAGGTGGGGTGCTATGTACATAAAACTGGAGCTCCAGCTCAGATAAGAGGCAGTGAGGCATGGCAGAAAGTTAAGCTTGACTTGGCTACTTACTACTAGCTATGTGACTGAACAGATGACTTCACCTCTCTGAGCTTCAGTTTCCTCATCTATAGGAGTAGTCTCAGATTATAAGTACTAATGTCAAACACCTAGTAAGTATTCAGTATCAATGCCGTTTATATCATGTTATTAGCTACCCATTGTAATCTATACCATGGACAGGAAATCTGATTTACAATTGTTCAGCACTCACCTGTGCTAAGTGAATGTTCAGCATTCACATTGGCTAGAAGTAAAGATTTCCTCTGGCTTTCTTCCTCGTATCCTAAAGTAGAATAGAAGGTGGATGGGTTGCTACCTGATTTTAGGTTTTATAACTGAAACTATCTCAAACGGAGGAACCCATAAAAATATTTAGTGTAAAAACCTAGTTTTGAGACATGGTGTATTTGAATGTGATTTTGTGTGAATTTATAATAATAGCATCTCAGGAAGCACTGAAGTGCAAGATTTAATGTGGAAAGTAGCACATTTCAGGAAAAGCTTACTAGCTGTGTGACCTTGGACAGCTTACTTAGCCTCTTTTGCTTTATGGTCCTCATCAGTAAATGGGGTGAAATAATACTTATTTTACAAGACTGAGAATTAAATGAGTTGATACATGACACAGCACTTGGCACATAATAACTATAGCTCGTGTTAAGTTACCATAATTAAAGATATTACTTCACTTCCTGAAGTTCTGATGTTTAGAAGGAAATCTATCTAAAAACAGCCATGTAGCATATCAGAAAATTGCTACCATGGTAATGCTTGTATACTTTCTCCATAGACGTGCCAAGAAATTTCAGTTTCCTAAGGTTACCCTTATTATGTTCATCTGTGTTCCAGACCATGTGGACCTAGAATTCTGTGTAATAAAAAATTACTGACATATAAGATTTGTTATTTTCTGGTTATTCCCGGCCACTTCCCAGGTTTCTTTGGTTATAGGCAGAAGGTATCTTGTTTTTCATGACTAAAAGTGAGAAGTAGTAATCAAGAGAGGGCGCAAAAGAACTTAAAAACAGCTAGCTGAGGCTGGAGGGTGAAAAGACATGTATCTCTCCTAATTCTCAAAGCAGATTTCCTTTGCTGTATAAGAATTGATGTTTTTAAATGGACATAATTGAGAAAAAGAGCATCTACATCTTTTATTGATAGCTGTTTGAGGATTCAGTAGCATAATTATGTAAAATGCCTGTTTAGTTCAGGCTGATGCACTGTGTGACCTTGGGCAAGTTGCCCAGCACCTAACCTTTGTTAAATGGTTAAGCTGGTAAGTCACTTGCTTCAAGTGAGGGTGAAAGTTAGAATTTAATAAAATGCCTTTTAGATAGTCTGTGTTAAACAAATTTACTATTAATGTATTGTCTCTGGCTTCAAACAAGTATCTCTGTCCGTTCTGAGCTTCAGTTTTCCCATCTGTAAAGTAGAACTCATAGTTTATAAGAGGATTCTTAAGACACTGTATTTAAAGCACACTGCAATGGCTATCATAAAAATTCTGAAATATTCCCATCTCCTTTCTTCAAATGGTGAATATAAAACACAAGGAGAATTAATTTTTTTAATCTGTTTTATTTAGCAAGACAAGATTTTAAGGTAATGCACAAAAGGTTCTTTTAATTTTTTAAATTTAGGATACACATATAGGTAAATTTCATTCTCTAGTGATCTTGAACAAGTTAGATGTAAGAAGACAGATTAGAGAAGACTACTTGTGTTTTCTTACCTTAAATTGGACTGCATCAAGAGGGAGGGAATTTTTCAGTTTGTTTTTCTTTTTACTTTGCTAACTGTATAAGTGTCCATCTCTTTGAATGTGGTAATATTTTATGTTAGAGCTCTGCAGATCCATCAGTGTCGACCTAACAGAAAGCAAACGGCTGAGCTCTCTCCTCCTTTCCAGTTTCCAGGTGAGAATCTAGAGTCTCAGGATTGGGAGTGTTTTCTTTTTCTTTCCTTTTTTTTTTAAACTGTTATTGTGACATCCCCAAAGACATTGTGTGATTTATCAGTAAAGAGTAAAAGGTGTTTCTCTCTAGTGAGATTAATTTGAAAGCCAGATTTAATCCCAGAAGCTTTGTCTCTGGATCAGGCTCCAGGAATCCCATTGATGTTGCTGAGGCTGACTGAGCAGTTAAGAGAGTGCCCCTGTCTAGTGTATTTGCTCATTAGCAGCAAATGATGGGACTTTAAGGTGGGTGGAGGTCATATCTAAGTTTAAGCAGACATTTGAGATCTGGCTGCTCTCTAAATTGGAATTATATGACTAACTGGTGATTGCATCAGTTTAGATAAGCACGTCATTTGTGTGAATTAAATGACCATTTTCCCCCATGAATCAAAAATCCCATCATGTAGTCTAGACAACAAAGACTTTTACCCTTACCTTTTTATTTTCTTGTTTTGTTTATATGAAAAATCTTAGGTGTAGAATTAAATCATGCTTACTCACATTTATTAAATGTCCTAAGATTACATGAATTCAGGACTGGCCTGGCAAATCTTGGTGGTTGTACTGAAAATGCTTTTCTTTATTTAGTTCTCTGTTCAGAAACTTGAACCTTTCCTAAAGGGAACTGAGGGCTTCAGTCTTGAAAGTTTTAGAGCCAAAGGTAAGTTGCTAAGACCAGACACTCGAGCTTTGACCTTGGTCTGTACCTTCTATGAGAGTTGGTTGAAACCTCTCTCTCAGGGTCCCTGTTTACAGGACCTGCTACCTTACACAACCAGGCCTCCTCCTTTTTTGGGGGAAACTGCATTAAAAAAGATACAAATATGTGCTTACAAAGTTTAGAAGGTCTAAAAGTAAGCCTCTCTTGCCCCATGACCCCCAGTCTCAGTTCCTCTCCTCCCAGAGGCAACCACAGCCACCAGCTTCTTTTGTATCTTTGCAGAATTACTGCATTTCTAAACATTTATCCATTAAAATCAGATGAATAATCCTTTGTACACACTGTTCTTAATCTTGTTTGTTGTTTTTTTAAACAATTTATCTTGCAGAGAGTTCTTTATCATACTGATAAAGCTGTCTTGACATTTTAGCAGCTACATGATACTCTATTTTATAAATGTACTATATTTGATTTAAACAGTTCTTTACTGATGGACTTTTGGGTTTATTTTCAGTCTTTTATTACAGTGAATGGATAATGAATACCTTTTTATACAAGCCTTTTAGCATACATTCAAGTAAAAATAAGATATGTTAGAATTAACTAGTGTAAGTATACTATAACTAAAAGTTTAGATTTTTTTATTATTTAGTAGGTATTATTTAAAGGTCTTTTTTGGGATTTTAATGTGTTTTTCTTTTGAAGAGGATAATATTTTTTCATATTTTTAGAGGAGAGCCATTTGTACTTGATTTTCCATGTATTATCTGTCCATACATATCCTTTGTTCATTTTTTAAAATTGAGGAACTGACTCTTTTGTATTGGTTTTGCAGGCACTCTTTATGTGTTAAGGAAATTAGCTTTAGCCTGTGACATAAGTTGCAAATATTCTTCCCCAGGAGTCAATTTTCAGCTTTCTAGGAAATAGTTTTTCTCCTTCAGTGTAATTTTACAATCATCCTGGTCAGAAATAAAAGACCTAGAATATACATGAAGTCAGACTTACTTGCCAGGTAAAGCTGTTTATCTCAGAACTCTACTATCACCATAATTAGGGTAGACATGTCCAGGTTATTTTGATAGCTATTTAACGTATCTTTTCCCCTCTGCATTCTTCACCTGAATTTAATTGTGAATTCTTTTTAAGTCTAAGCAGAGACCTGTTTTTACCTTATGCCCATCATTTTTTTATTTGCTGCTAGCATTTCTGACTTCTATAATATGTTCTTTCACCCAGTGCCAGCAGATCAGATCTCTTGAAAGAGTGAATTGTCAATCCAGAAACATCTTTCTGACACATCTCTTCAACTGCTTCTTCATCAGTCGTGTGAAAAACACTATTGTAAATGTTATAAAGAGGAGTTGTCTTCCATTTTATCTATACCTACCCAAAGAAAAAAGATAAAATCTTCCTGCATATTTATATCACTTTTTTGAATGGGTGAGAGGGCCAGAATGTAACAGGTGACCCTAGAGCTGAGGCCACTTTACCTATGTTACATCTTTGTCAGCAGCTCACTGTGAAAAGTATTATTCCCTTTATTTTGTAACATATAATGTTATTCTCTGTAGCATCTTCCCTTTCTGAAGAATTGAAACATTTTGCAGACAGACTGGAAAGTAATGGAACACTACAAAAATGTTTTGAAGATTCAGAAGGGTAAGAACAGTTCCCTTTCTGTCTAAACTTATAACTGAATTAGGACTTTTTATTTTTTTAATTTTTTAAATTGAAGTATAGTTGATTTACAGTGTTGTGTTAACTTCTAGTGCACATCAAAGTGATTCAGGTATATGTGTGTATATGTATATATGTATGTGTTTGTGTATACTTCAGTTCATTTGTGTCATATTTTAGATCCTGCAGATAAGGGATATATGGAATTTGTCTCTTTGTCTGACTTAATCTGTTAGTATGATAATGGTCCATCCATGTTGCTGCAAATGGCATTATTTCATTCTTTTTTATGGCTGAGTAATATTCCTGTGTGTGTGGAGGTGGGTGGGTGTGTGGGTGTGTTTATGTACACATACATCACATCTTTATCTGTTCATCTGTTGATGGACATTTAGGTTGCTTCTATGTCTTGGCTATTGTAAATAGTGCTGCTGTGAGCATTGGGGTACGTGTATCTTTTTGAATTAGTTTTTGTCTTTTCCAAATATATGGCCAGGAGTTAGGTTGCTGGGTCATATGGTAACTCTATTTTTAGTTTTTTAAGGAACTTCCATACGGTTTTCCATAGTGACTGCACCAATTTACACTTCCAGTGTTAAGAAGGTTTCCATTTTCTCTACACATTGTCCAGCATTTACTATCTGTAGGCTTTTTCATGATGGCCATTTTTGATGGGTGTAAGGTGATACCTCATTGTAGTTTTTATATATAATTTTATTTGTTTATTTAATGTTTGGCTCTGCTAGGTCTTTGTTGCTGCATGAGTTTTTCTCTAGTTGCAGTGAGCAAGAGCTACTCTCTAGTCACGGTACATGAGCTTCTCATTGTGGTGGCCACTCTTGTTGCAGAGCATGGGCTCTGGGTGCATAGGCTTCAGTAGTTGGAGTACGTGGGCTTGGTAGTTCCTGCTCTCGGGCTCTGGAGCATAGGCTCAGTAGTTGTGGCACGTGGGTTTAGTTGCTCCGAGGCATGTGGGATATTCCTGGATCAGGGATTGAACCCGTGTGTCCTGCATTGGCAGGTGGACTCTTCACCACTGAGACATCAGGGAAGCCCTTCATTATAGTTTTGATTTGCATTTCTCTAATAGTGATGTTGAGCATCTTCATGTGCCTATGGGCAATCTGTATGGCTTCTTTGGAGAAATAAGACTTAATTAGACAGTTGTTCATTCACTCATCAAATGTTTATCCAGCATCTTCTATGTACCATGATCTTCTGGAAGCTGGAGATACAGTGATAAGTAATGAAACAAGATCTTCTTATTCATTGTAGTAGGAGAGACAGACAAATACTTAGAAAATAATGACTTCAGATATACTCTGAATGATTTCAGTGATAATCAATTGGGCAGGTAATATGATAGTGACTTGAGGGAGTGGGCAGCTTAAGCTGGAGTGGTCCAAGAAGTCCTCTAATGATTTGACATTTGCACTGAGACCTGTAAGACCTGGATGGTGAGGAGGAACCAAATATGTGAAGATGAGACAAAAAACATTCATATTTTTGCTAGCCGTGCCAGTTGTATATAAAGTCATGGTATTAGCTGTTGGCCAGCAAGAATATTAAGAGAAATTTTACAGCTGCCGCTGCTGCCCCCCCTCAAAACTGATAGTCCCTCAGCAGGGGCAACAGTGAGCCCCTCCCCCCATCCTGCAACAAATTATGTGACTTGATCTTACACTTTCGACTTCACAAAGGTCTGCCTTTCCATGGATCCTTAGAATTAACATGGCTATTCAGGAAATGAAAACTATGTTAGCTCGACATTGCTTCTCTTTTAACGCAGTATATTTAAACCAGAGGCTGCTATATTGCAGCTAGAGGTGATAGAGGCTGTTTGTCACAGGCTTTGATAGAAAAACAGAAAAGGTGACACAGCTGATTTGCCTTTGCCAGGTAGAATACCAAGTACAGTCTGCAAAATTTTGGCATTTTCAATGCCTCCTGCTTTTCCATTAGAATTAATCACTTTACTGAGCCAAGCTATTGGTTTAAGTAGAACATATCCAGCTGAAAGCTTCAACTCAAGTGCAAAGACAGTTGTGTGAAAAAGCTATTGAGGTTTTGATTATTTGGGAATGCAAGAGGCTAAATAAAAAAAAATGGTGTGAACAAAACTTTGTGGCATTATATGGATAGAACAGATAAAGGGTAACAGTAGGAATCAAAGTTAATGAGTTGGACAGAGCCAGAACATAGAGAACCTTAAGTGCCAGGTTAAGGAGCTTTGGCTTTTCTTCTGAATGCAGTGGAGTCACAGAATTTTTAAGAAACGAAAAATACAAAAGGAATATTTGAAGAGAGGTTAATCTGTTCACGTGTGATGAGGGAAACAGACAATGAAGAGACCACTGAGAAAGCTAATACCTAGTGCAAAAGTGAATTAGAGTCCCAGGACTAAGTATTCATTGAAAGATAAATTCTGAACATGTTTTATTGCTGTTAAAATTATGTGAAACATCCAATACTAAAATCAAACACTCTGGGAAGATTTCTGTTAATCTCATAATCCTGTCTATTCTAGAAAAGTATCAGATTTGGCTCTGGAAACATCAGTTGCTGAGATGAAGGAATATATAACAAAGTAAGTGAAAATGAGTGAACTTTTGTTGGAAAAATCTAGATTTATCTGGGAAAAATAACTAGTAAAAATAATCAGGAAAAATGAATAGTAAACATCCTTTTCAGTGTCAGTACTGCTGTATCCACACTGGGAGTTAGAAAGCTGCACACTGGGATTTTATGTACTGTTGTTGTTTTGTCACTAAGTTGTGTCCGACTTTTTTTTGACCTCATGGACTGTAGCCTACCAGGCTCCTCTGACCATGGGATTTCTCAAGCAAAAACACTGGAGTGGTTTATGGACTGTATTGATGACCAGTTTCATAGAATGGAGTCTAGAGACTAAGGATGTGGATTTGATGTAAAGACTCATGTTTGATTTGATTAAGTTAATATCCTCTGACTTGGTCGTGCTTTCTAATCTTTTTTTAATGACTTTTTTATTCACATCTTAGAACAAGAGTAGACACCTAATGTATGCTTGCCCTGAGTGATTCAGAATGAGATGATCAAAAGTTAACTGAATTTTTTCCTGTTTCTGTAGGTTTTCTTTAGAACGTCAGAATTGGGATCAGCTCTTGCTGCGCTACCAGGAAGAGGCTGAAGAGATCTTATCAAGGTTAGATCTATGACAGGAAATAGGAAGGTTTTACCTTGTGACTTTTGATTTGATTTCAGTTCTGATAGCACAAACTGAATGATGAATCCAGTCTTACAGGCCAGTCAACTCATCAAATCTTTATAGAGTACACATGAACAGTGTGACTGAAAATGGAGAGTGAGGGGGTTGGGAAGGAAGAGTTGTCACTATTTTCAGTCAAAGAACAGAATTGCCTCTGTTCTGTGCCCTTGGCTGCTGTTCCACATTCTGGGGGAGACAGGCATGTCTCTGCCCTGTAGCTGGCAACCTGGGGCTGGGCCAGTATCAAGGGACTTCAGTGAGCACATGGCATTTGAGCTGCGACTATGGGAGAGAACCACAGCCAGGGCCCTCATGGAGACACAGGGGTGAAAGAGGTGATGGAAGTGGGTCTACAGGAGAGCAAAGATCTTTGGGTCTTGAAGGCATAATAAAATGGGAAAGTGCTAGATTTTGGTTTCATTTTACTGTCCAAACCAGTGATTTTAAGTTTTTTTCCCCCATACAGAACCTTAGCTAGAAACATAACTACAAAACATTAGCCAAAATAGTAATTGCCAAAGTGGCCTCTTAGTAGAGAGGCACTTTGAGGAGCACAGTATGAGAAACTTCCCTAATCCAGGCATTGATGCTTATTACTTTTTTCACCCTTTAAATGTTCTATGTATGAAGACACATATGCATAAGATGGCAGTTGCCAGTATAAACGGGCCATAGTTTATAGTTAAGAGGAAAGCTTCTGGAAGCAGACTGTCTATGTTCAAATCCTAACTGCTCCTTAGTGCTGTGACCTTGGACAGTCCGCTTAATCTGAAGTTCCTCATTTGAAAATGGGATAATATTACTACCTATCTCATTGGGTTGTTAGGACTAAAGAGTCATCAGCAGTTTTCATAAACTCTCCATTATATTGAGTTATTTTAGATAATTTAAGTGGGCCAGCATCTTTTTGGTAAAAGATCATAGATGTTAACTTCAGGCTTTACCCCAGGAGTAGTCCTTTTTGTAAATGGACCTTACTGTTAGATGGAGTCAACTAACCTAGCATTTCCTGGAGTCCAGAGGTATAAAAACATTAACACTAGATAATTATCTCAGAATCTCCTGTTAGTAAGAGAGCCTATGCTCACTGTGGGGTGAAAGAATATTGATTCAAGTTAGTAAAGCCTTTTAGGAAGTGTTTTCCCTAGGTAAATCTTTGCTGTTTCCCCACAGAAAATAATTGTAAAATTATTTGAAAGCTTTTTTGTTTTATTTTTATTTTAGAGCATCAGCTGAAACCAAAAATACTGAAGTTGAAGTGGAACCTAGAATGTATGTTGGGTCTTCCCAGAGTGAAGTCCTTAATACAAAACCTGACTACCAGAAGATATTGCAGAACCAGACTAAACTCTTTGATTGTATGGAGTTGGTGGTGAGTTAGGTCATGTTTCTTTGGCTGAGTTACCCAGCTTTGATACCTTCTTATCCTTGTTAAAAGAGCTGGAGAATATGTGTAATTAGATAAGTATTTTCACCTTGGGGAAACATGGAGAGACGATGAAAGAAAATAAATAAGTAAATGGTGATAAATGCTAATAAGTCAGGTGGAGGAAGAGAATGTTCAGGGAGGGCTTCAGTTTGCTATATAGAAGGGTTGAAGGCCCTTCTTAGGTGCCACCTTAATAAAGACTTGAAAGAAATGGGGAAGTGAGTCGTGAGGACATTTTGAAAAATGTCAACCCCAATTGTTTTTTTTTTTTTTTTTTTTGCCAAAATACCATCTTGAACCTAATGGCATGAGGTCTCATGTTGGACTTTTTTATTTGTTTCTCTTACTTTGTTTTATTTTGGTTGCATCACACAGTATGTGGGATCTTAGTTCCCTGACTAGGGATTGAACCTGCACCTCATAAATTAGAAGTATAGTACTTATCTACTGGACCACTAGGGAAGTCCCTCAATCCAAGTATTAGGTTTGCCAGAAAGTTTGTTCAGGTTATATAAGAGCTTACAAAAACCCAAATGAACTTTTTGGTCAGCCCAGTATGAACAGAAAGCAGGTGGCATTTGATACAGGGTAGGGAGAGTCTGTTTACAAAGGGGCTGAGTATAAAGATGTGGCTGTCAGGAATTCAAAAGTGAAGTGAAGTGATCTGGGGCTTAGAGGCAGCTGAGCTGTTCCTGCTCCTCAGCTGGAGGGTGAAACAGTTACTGTGGCACCTGGCAGGGAGTTGTATAGTGGGCTGCTCTGAAAGAGCCATGGTCTTCAGTTGAGAGGCACTACTAACTCCAGCTGACCCTTCCAGGAGTAGGCCCAGGTGAAAATACCCTGCGCTCATTCAGCTCACTCCTGCTTGGCTCCCTCTTGGCCAAGCCCACCCAGAAGCCAGAGGACCTGGGGTCTTGTTGAGGTTGTGCAGGTCCGTCTGCTCAGGAGCAGAGCAGTGTGGAGAGGAGTGGAGTATGGATGTGAAAGGGCAAACAGAATGTCTGGCATAAGCATTCCAGGTGAAAGAACAGCAAAAGCAAAGCTCCTGAGCAGGAGCTTGCCTGGTGTGTTCGAGGAGCCATGCCGAAGCCGTGCACCCTTCCAGTTCATACTTGTCTGTTGTCTGCAGATGGACGAACTGCAAGGATCCGTGAAGCAGCTGCACGCCTTCATGGCCGAAAGTACCCAGTGCCTCCAGGAGGTGTCAGTACAGCTCGGTAAGCCTGTCTTCAGGGGACCAGAGCTTGCACTGTTTTACATCTGATAGCCCTTCGGATGTACACTGCCCTTCAGAACACTTTAGGGGTCATTCTGATTGTAACGGGAATGAGGCCGATTTTCTCCTGTGACTTTGAGGGTGGTTTTAGGTAGAGGAGTTGTGAGCATTGTTTGCATTGTGTGGATACAAACAATGGTCTCCAAGGGTAAGGCCTGTATCTGGTGACTTTTATTTCCCCCTCACAGTAACAATTACTATTGTGGGTACTCAATTGGAAATTTTTAGACAGGAGGACAGTAGAATTAAATCTCCACAAACTGACAAACTGTGTTGTTTGGGTAGATCCAGAACAAGAAATATCTATCCACTGCCTTTTTTCTCTTTTCATTCTTCAAGAATCTACCAAGTGACACTGACATTACTTTTTAAAAAAATAATATTTATTTATTTGGTTCTGCTGGGTGTTAGTTGCAGCATGTGGGATCTTTAGTTGCAGGCTGTGAACTCTTAGTTGCATTTGTGATCTGGTTCTCTGACCAGGGATTGAACCGGGCCCCCTGCACTGGGGTGCAGATTCTTAGTCACTGGACCACTGGGGAAGTCCCCATCAGATTGTATTGTGGTTGTAGTTGCAGCTGGCTTTCCTACCAGAGAGCCATCTCCTTGAGGGCAGATGCGCTCTTAAGTTGTCCTTCAACCCTTCAGGGTCTGGCACAGTATTCACACAGTAAGTTTTCAATAGTGGTATTTGAATTCAATTGAAATGTATTTTTTGGCTCCTTTTCTCTGCAGGGAAGAGAAGCACTCAACAATTAGATCCTTCACCAGCTCGAAAACTGCTCAAGCTTCAGTTACAGAAGCAACCTAGCACATATTGCTCTAAATCTTGTCAGTGACCGTATGCAGCTTTTCTGCCACAAGGTGCTCAGAGGAGAGAGACCGGAATAGTGCCCCAGTGCACAGCAGGCTGAGCTGCGACGTCTGCCCTGTTGCCTTTGAAGATAACTGGCTGATTGTAAAGCACTCTGATTTTTTTTCTTAAAATGGAATTTATGCATTTGAAAGAATGTCATATACAAGCTGTTTCCAAGAACGGGCAAAATGCTTGAGACTTTGCTTTGGAATGACCTCCAGAACTAGTGGCCCATTCTTTGAAATATCCTTTGGGATCAGAAATCCTTACTCCGAAGATGTTTTTGAGGTTTTGAAACAACCTAAAGTCATTCAGGACCAAATCCAGTAAGCATTTGAGGGGTCATTCTGGTTGTAAACAGAATGAGACTGATTTTCTCCTGTGACTTTAAGGGTGGTGTTGTGAGCATTGTTTGCATTGTATGGATACATATATCCTCACAAGATTCCCAAATTGAAAATACTAACACGCACTCTGTATATCCTGAGGTCTATAATGTGTTTTAGCTTTCTGGGAGGGTGTGCTACACCATGTGGCATGCAAGATCTTAGTTCCCCAACCAGGGATTGAACCCATGCCCCCTGTGGTGGAAGTGTGGAGTCCTAACCACTGGACTGCCAGGGAAGTCCAGTATAGTCTGCTTTAGCTTCTAATGTTGAGTTGACATCCTAAATTCTAGATTCATGGCAAGAAGGGGTTAAGTATCTCTTTTTCATTGTTCTTTGTTAATGATTTGCATTATAAGATTGCATGTTCTTAAAAGCTTTCCCTTGTCCTCGTGTATGAAAAAATGAAAAGGTGGGGAAGGCTTAGCAGAAAATAGGATTCTTTGTCAGGACCCAGAAGTGAACAGTAGTGTGGACAGTGTTAACAACCAATAAAACACCAACTAATTTATTGTCAGTATCTCTTATTTTCTGATCCTCCTAGTAGAACCCACTTCACTTAAATACCCAGTCATTATCTTAAGTCTTAAAGCTTGGACTATGCAACAGTTAGTAAGAGGTGATATATCCTAGCTTTTCCCTGTGTTCCTTGTTGTTTTTAAAATTTTTTTTTGATATATTAGTTAATTTGGCTGTGCTGGGTGTTAGTTGCTGCACATGAGATCTTTGATCTTTGATGTGACCTTCAGGATACTTTTTTTCTTAGTTGCAACATGTGAACTCTTAATTGCAGCCTATGGGATCCAGTTCTAGGGATCAAATCCAGGGCCTTCTGCCTTGGAAGCACTGAGTCTTAGCCCCTGGACCACCAGAGAAGTCCCACATTCTTCATTCTTTCATATGTTTACTTAGCTCCTACTATATGCCGTGCACAGTTCTAGGAACTGGGAAGAGAGCAAAGAACAAAAACAGTCTTAGGACCTCTTTTCATGATTTTCACAGTCTGTTGGGCATGGGGAACGAGAAGAAACCTCTTTTCTACAGAAGTAATGTTTTAGTTGACTTGGGAAGGAGAAAGGAGTTAAATAGGGCAGTTATTTGAGGTAAAAAGAGCCACATTTTAAAAGGCCTGAGGAGAAAGAATAAAACTTCTGGGATACTAAAATTAAAAATAGATTGGTTAAGCAGGAATGCTAAGTGCCAGTATAAGAACCACCTGAGACAAAGATAATTGAAAGTTATTGAAAGGTTTTGAGAGATGGATGGGATCAGAACTTTATTTCCTTTTTTTAAATTTATTTTTTAATTGGAGGATAATTGCTTTACAATATTGTGTTGGTTTCTCCCATAAAGCAACATGAATCAGCCATGTATACCATATATGCATAGGTATACATATGTCCCCTCCCTTTTGAAGAACTTTATTTTCAAAAGATCACTCCAGTTGCTATTTGGAGAACAGTTAGAAGTAAGTAGGTGTGGATATTAGAGACCAGTTGTGCTCTTAACAGTCTGCAGTGGTCAGGTGCGGAATGACTGCTTGGGCTGGGACTTAGCAGCGGATGAGTGGGGGGCGTCACTCATAGTGTCTGGAACACAGCAGGCATGTCACCTCCATGTTAAAAGCCTAACTGCTACTTACTGACTGAGAAAAGGTCATCTAACCTCTTATTTGTAAGATTGGGAGAATGATAGAATCTATAGCACAGGGATGCTGTAAGAGTTAGATTAACAGGTTAAAGAAGAGTGGATGGGGGACTTCCCTGAGAGTCCAGTGGCTAAGACTCCAAGCTCCCAAGGCAGAGGGCCCAGGTTCGATCCCTAGTCAGGGAACTAGACCCCACTTGCTGCAACTAAGAGCCTAAAAAAAAAAAAAGAACGGTGAATGGAGGAGGGTAAAAACTCCCAACTGGGTAGATAATGAGCAGTTAATTAGGTGGGAAAGGTCACAGTTAAATTTGGCATACCAAACAGATTTCAACTAGATTGTTGGATATACTGATAGAAAACTGGGTAGGAAAACCTACACTAGGAATAAAATTTGGAAGTTACCCATACCTAGTTATTAAAGCCTTAAGAATAAGATAATGTCCAGAGGAGAGCATGAAGGGAAACTGGACGGCCCCAAGGAAGCTTTTAAAAATCAGAGAAGTGGTGTTAATTGCCACTCTTTCAGAAGCAGAATAATATAGTGGAAAGAGTGTACTTTGGAGTGAATCTTCATCCTTACTCTCAATTTCCTTTCTGTGAAATGGGGAGAGAACACCTCTCTCCAAAGGTGATTGTACCTCCCCTCCCCCCATTTTATTTAGTACACTGTATTACATTTTAAAAATGTATTTATTTGTGGCTGCATTGGTTCTCCTTTGCGGCATGCGGGCTCCAGAGCACATGGACCTATAGCTGTGGCATGTCCACGTGGCATCTGGGATCCTAGTTCCCTAATCAGGGATCAATCCCAAGTCCCCTGCATTGGAAGGTGGATTCTTAACCACTGGACCACCAGGGAAGTCCTTGGTGTTTTGGAAGTTTTGTTTGTAAGAATTAAGAAGTGTCTTTGTATCTCTAATTACCATACAAAATAGAGCACAGAAAAAGAATAAGATATGAGCATTCTATATGCATACACACTGCAACTTGAGATTGCCTCTTTTTTTTTTTTTTTCATTATAGATGAGGAACTCAGGCATGGAGGGGCTTACTAATCCAACCAAGAACATAAAGATAGGAGTGGAGAGTCAACTAGAACCCATGTAGCATTCAGTAAATGTTAACTAACACAATAATTAGTAAAAGGCTGTGCCCAGGTACTACTAGTTTTTTTCCCCCCAAGTTTGGTTCAGGAATTGTACTAGGTGAATGTTATAGATAGTTGGAGCCTTAGAGATGTTTGGTAGTATTCTTCCTTTTGCCCTACTTTAGTTAATGAGTATCTTGCTTTTAATCAGTGATATTTAACACTAAAGAAATAATAGGTTATATTATAAACTCTTTTCAAGCAAGGGAATATATCTTGTACATTTTGATTGCTTAATGTAATCATCTGGAAAAATCTACTCAGGTTGCCCTTAGAGGAGACGGTGTGACTGGTGGTTGTAGTAGAGGTGATATAATGGAGGACTGGGAATTAGGAGCCCTGTTTTGGATTCTAGTTTTGGGTGTGTTTTTGTTTTGAGTATAGTGGATTTACAATGTTGTGTTAGTTTCTGCAATACAGCACAGTGAATCAGTTTGTGTGTGTGCGTGTGTGTGTGTGTGTATACACACACACACTCTTTCTACTTTCCCCATATAGGTCATTACGTAGTATTGAAGAGTTCCCTGTGCTATATCTAGTTCTTAAGTTACTGGTTCATTCACCAAAAACTTATTAAACTGGTTCCTGATGCCAGGCACAGTGCTCAGTGCCATGTGACCTTGGGTACCACTCTAGGTCCATGTCAAAGGAGGATGCCTTGCCATGTAAAGAGTTCTTAGGGGTTCCATAAGGATGTAACTTGGCAGAAGGGAAGAAGCCAGCCAGACACAGCTCTCAACACCCCTCCCTCTGAGCAGTTCTGGTTAAAGGTTCTCCAAGGAGACTCCAAAGCAAGAGGACTACAGTACTTCCCCCTTAACTGAGGGGGAATATGTTCCAGGACCCCAATGGATGCTTGAAACTGCAGATAGTATGCCCTGTAATTGCAAAGTTTTTTCCTATATTTACTTACTTACAATAAAGTGTAACTTATAAATTAGGCACATTAAGAGATTAACAACAACAGTAATAAGATAGAGCAACTGTAACTATATACTGTAATAAAACTTGGGTAAATGTCTCACTCAAGATATTGTATTGTCTTGTACTTACCTTCCTCAGAGATGATGTGAGATGATACAGTGTCTATGTGATGAAGTGAGGCATTGTGACATAGCTTTAGGCTACTATTGACTTTCTGACTGTACATCAGAAGGAGGATCATTGAGCCATTACAGTGTCCATGGTTGGATGTCTAAGTAGATGATTTTGGGGATCCACAAGATACAGTTGAAGGTTTTTTTGCTGAAAGCTTTTGGGAAAACATTGTAATTGGAGCTGTCTCTTTAACTCATTGAAGTGTTGCTGCAGCAATTGTAATCCTTTGGTGATTGTGAGTAGTTGCTATGATGCCTTTTTTCATCTGAGGGTCATATTCCATATATTTGAAATTGTGAAATTTGAAACATTTTGGCAAATTTCAATTATGTCCACATTGCTGATTCTGCTTCAGTTGCTTTACCTTCCTCTTTCTCAATAGATGACTCCACAAGTCTGTCCAATAACTCAGTTGTTAACACTTCTCAGTGCCCTTTAATATGTTCTTCCACTTCTTCATCAAGCGTGTTGGCAGATCCTTTGCCACCAACTTGTCTTGCTATGTGAATGAGTTTCCTAACTTCTCCATCGAACCTCAGTGACCTTTAATATCATTCACGACTTCATAAGTTCTTCCAGCAGGCATTAAGAGTGTAGTTTTAATTCACTTACTGCACTTCTGGTGAATGTTATTCATTGGCAGTAGTAATGATTTCAAGTGTTGCATTGTGTCCAGATTAAAATCTGCATTAATTGCTGAACATATGTGGTCAGATATCAGGTAGGTGTATGTGGCCTTGACAAACTGATGGCTTGTCAAGTGGCTGAAGCATTGACGTTGTATTTGGAGATAAAAATACAACTTTGACATTTTTATAGCAAACAGATTCAGGATGACCAGGTCCATTGTCTGTTAGTAATAGGATTTTAAATTCCAACCTTTCCTTTTTTCCAAATATTTTTCATTTCTGGAATGAAGCATTGGTAGACCCATTCCATAAACAAGATAGCTGTCACCTAGATTATGTTGTCAGAATATAAGCAGATAATTCTTGGTTTTGTTTTTGAACACTGTTGGGTCTTTGCTCTGTATACTACTCCTGCCTTTAACATATGCTCTGTAGCATTGCCAGTAATACCAGAGTTAATCTCCTCTTCCATGTTTTATGATCTAGTGCCTCCTTTGCACTTTTATGACGGTAGGTTTGTTGCTGAATGCAAGTTCACATGCCTGACACACAATGAAGCCAAACAAACTCAAACATGAGTTTGGAGCAGAGAAAGATTTATCAAAAGGGCCAAGCAAGGAGAATGGGTGACTCGCGATTAAAAAACTAGAGCTTCCCGGATGATGTTTGGTTCTGTTGGGACTCTTCTTCCAGAAGAACCCAGTTTCATCACATGAAGACTTGCTTTGGATGGTATCCTTTCCTTCCTCTTCAATCAAATTCTTCACCTCTGATGGAAATGTGGCAACAGCTTCTGAAGCTAAAGCTGGCCTCTGTACCCTGACACCAAATTAATTCTCAGGGACAGGTTTTGGTGAAATAGGAAAGAATAGCTTTATTGCTTTGCCAGGCAAAGGGGATCAGTGGGCTAATGCTTTTAAAACGGTGTGTCCCAACCTGGAGTGGGTAGTAAGGTTCATAGTAATGGTTCAAAGAGGATGTGATCAGCTAGCTCATGGATAATCTGATTAGTTGGTGGTGAAGTGGAAGTCAACATCATCAACCTGGTTCCAACTGGTCTGGGATTTCTCCCATCTGGTGGGGGTTTCAGTATCTGTAAAATAGCTCAAAGATATTGAGACCTGCCCCAAGGCTGCTTTATTCTTTCTCTTGACTGTTCCTTGCTTCTGCATCCCCTCCCTTCTCTAATTTTTGTTTAGTCACTGAGTCATGTCCAACTGTTTGCAACCCCATGGACTGCAGTGTGCCAGGCTTCCCTGTCCATCACCATTCCCGGAGCTTGCTCAAGCTCATGTCCATTCAGTCGGTGATGCCATCCAACCATCTCGTTCTCTGTTGTCCCCTTCTCCTCCTGTCTTCAGTCTTTCCCAGCATCAGGGTCTTTTCCAATGAGTCAGCTCTTTGCATCAGATAGCCAACGCATTGGAGCTTCAGCTTCAGCATCAGTTCTTCGAATGAATATTCAGGATTGATTTTCTTTAGGATTGAATGGTTGGATCTTGCTGTCCAAGGGACTCTTAGGACTCTTCTCCAACACCACAGTTCAAAACCATCAATCTTTCGGCACTCAGCCTTCTTTTTGGTCCAACTCTTGTATCCATACGTGACTACTGGAAAAACCATAGCTTTGACTCTACGAACCTTTGTCTCTAATTAGCAACAGTTTGAACCTGCCTTTGGAACTCAGGGAAGGTCATGGAATGAATGAGGCCTATTTCCTGTAATGAAGAAATGCAGGGTGGCGGGGCGGGGGAGGGATTCCCTGGTGGTCTTGTGGTTAGGACTCATGCCAGGTCTGCTGGGTTCATTTCCTGGTCGGGGAACTAAGATCCCCGCATCCCAGCAAGCTGTATGGTACACCTAAAACAACAGCAAAAAAGAATTGTGGGACAAAGAAAGGCTTTTGTACCCAGGAACCCCCCACAGGGTCCTGCTTGGTATCATTTCTTCATTGGCAGACACAGTCTCCCCAGTAATTTTTCTACTTTGCAGTCCAAACTATTGCTGAATCTGTATAACCATCCCTTATGTTAGTGTTAGTTGCTCAGTTGTGTCCAGGTCTTTGTGATCCCATGGACTGTAGCCTGCCAGGCTCCTCTCTCCATGGAGTTCACCAGACAAGAATAGTAGAATGGGTAGCCATTCCCTTCTCCAGGTGATCTTCCTGACCTAGAGATCAAACCCAGGTCTCTTGCATTGCAGGCAGATTCTTTACCATCTGAGCCTCCAGGGGAGCCCCAACCATCCCTTATTTTCAGTAAATGGCTTGGTGTCACTCTTTAGGGGATCCCTTGCTGAAGTCTTTGTAATGGCTTGGAACCAAGCAGGAGCTAGTGGGGCTCTCCTGCATACAAAAGCCCTTCCACGTCCCATTTCTTGTCTGTAGAGAGAGGCTTTGGTCTCCTGGGCCGCCTCTGAGTTTCAAAGAGCAATGAGGAAAGAGAAGAAAAGCAACCAGGAAACAATAGTTCAGTGATAAAAGAGTCCTTTTTCCTCCTTAAGGGATATACATAACCATCTGACACATGTCTTTGAGTTGTTATGAAGAAACTAAGACCTACCCCCCACCCCAGCCCCACCCAGGTGGAAGATGGTGATTGCATGAGGACAGCAGTATGCCCCAGACTGATTGGAACCAGAAAGTTGAAACATAACCCTGTTACCTTACCACCAACCAATCAGAAGAAAGTTATGCATCCTGCAGCCCTCACCCCAAATTTTGCCTTTAAAATTCCTTCCCTGAAAGCCATGAGGGAGTTTGGGTCATTTGAGTCCAGGTTGGTTGGTCTTTGCTTAGCCCTGCAATTAACCTTTCTCTGCTCCAAAGTCCAACATTTTGATTTGTTTGGCCTCACTGACAGTGGGACACATGAACTTCAATTTAGATTCAGTGCTTTCTGGAGCAACATGTCGATCAGAATATGTATTTTTGTGTCTTTCATAAATTTAATGCCTTTTCATTTTTAAAAAAGTTTATATTGAAGTATAGTTTATTACTATAAAAGCAAAGCCATCACTTTGCTGACAAATGTCTGTATACTCAAAGCTACGGTTTTTCCAGTAGTCATGTACGGATGTGAGAGCTGGATCATGAAGATGGCTGAGCGTGGAATAATTGATACCTTTGAATTGTGGTGCTGGAGAAGACTTGAGAGTCCCTTGGACTGCAAGGAGATCCAACCAGTCAACCCTAAGGGAAATCAACCCTGAATATTCATTGGAAGGGCTGATCCTGAAGCTGAAATTCCAATACTCTGGCCACTTGATGTGAAGAGTTGATTCTGATTCTGAAAAAGATTGAAGGCAAAAGAAGAGAGTGGCAGAGAATGAGATGGTTAGATATTATCACTGACTCAATGGACATGAATTTGAGCAAACTCCACAAGATAGTGAAGGACAGGGAAACGGCGTGCTGCAGCCCATGGGGTCACAAGAGTTGGACACAACTCAGTGACTGAACAACGAATAGTTTATTAATGCTGTGATAGTTTCAGGTGTATTTCATTCTTAACTAAAAGCACCTTTTATGCACTGTGGCCCTAACTTTAGCAGCTTGAAGTATGACCTAAAAGCACAAATTTTTTCCCTGCAATTTTACAGAAGTTCAATCTAAAAAAATAAAAAGTCTCTATTTAGCTGCACCAGGTCTTGGTTGCAACATGTACAATCTAGCTCCCCAACCAGGGATCAAACCCAGGACCTTGGTGTTGAGAGCCCAGAGTTTTAGCCACTGGACCACCAGGGGAATCCCTCACAGAAAACTCATTCTTACCATAAAACCTCAACATACCTGTTTTTTTCTTAGTAATTTGAGAACTTTAACCCGTTAAGGCTTCTCTGGCTTTTCCACATCACTAGCAATACCACTTTTGGACTTTGGGGCCATTATCAAGCAAAGTAAGAGTTACTTGAAACAGACACTTCCGTATCCAGACAATCGATCTGATGACAGAGACTAGAAGACTAAGGGGGAAAGCAGCATATACCGCGTGGGTATGCTGGACAAAGGACTGATTCACTTCACCTGGTGGGAGGGAGCAAACCCAGAGATTTCAACACATTACTCAGAACAGCACAGCAAATAAAAACGTATGAATTATTTATTTTCCATTCAATACTTTCATACTGGAGCTGGCCAAAGGAAGCTACAACCAAAAACAATGAGAGAAAATCACTGTACGCCGAAGATGGCGCCAACTCAACCACCATCTTCTCCGTAGTTCCCCAGCCAGGCAGGCACAGTGCGCATGTGCGGCCTGGTGTCCTCAGCGCGCCTGCGCGGGCGCAGCCTTCCCCGCCCCACTCCCGCCGCCGCGGCTGCTGCGCTGACGGCGGTTGCCCGAGCTTCAGGTGAGTGTGAGCGCCTCAGCCTGGCTGGCTGGGGGCGCGCCGTGCTGCCTGTGGGGTCGTCGTCCCCTTTGCCTTCTCCTTCCCCGCCTCATCACCCCAGCGCGCCGGGGCTTGGGTCAGCGCTGCCAGCCTCCTCCAGGTGTTCGGGCGCCGTCCGCCCTCGTCGCCTGGGGACCCGGGGCAGCCCGGCCTCTTTCGGCCGCTACTCACCTGGGCGGCGAGGCTCACGGCGAACGCGCTGGCGATGGCGTGCAGG